TTTGCTTAATCGGTTCTATCAGACCTTTTAGCCGACAAAGCTTACCTCTAAGTGAGTTTGTTGGTTTAAATGCCACCCTAATTCCAACCTTGTTGAGAATCCTACGTATGGTTTCTGATGTTCCTTCCTTGTATGGTATTACAATAGAGGTGTTGATTTCCTTTCTACTTATGTTGTCACTATTATTTATATTTGTATTAGTGTTATTACTTTGCTTCTTATGTGTCCGTGTGAATTTCTTAATAAAATGATGGGGATAATTATTAGTTATTAACGCTTCTTTTATGTGTTTCAATTCCTTATTTAAGTCCTTACAATGACTAGTGAGTTTCTCAGCTCTGTTATTTAGACATCTGACTAAACCCGCTTTAACTGACACTGGATGAGATGACTTGAAGTCTAGATATCTGTTAGAATGTGTTGGTTTTCTGTAGACGGTAGTATCTAAACCACCATCTTTCCTTCGTTTTATTCTGCAATCCAACATAGGTAATTCTCCTTGTTCATTTTCTACTTCGTAAGTGAATTGGATTGCGTTAACTACTGAGTTTATGTGTGTCAAGAAACTGTCGATATGTTCCGATTTCAACACTGTAAATGTGTCATCCACATATCGCCACCATATCTTAGGTGTCGGATTATATCAAATAAACAAACATACGGTCGCTGGTTCAAGTCCGGCCGCGGTTCAAATTTTCATTTCACCTTCAGTCATCACCACCACCCAGTATAAATATTAGTCTGCCAAACTTCGGCTATCTCACATAGTCAAGTGATAATAAAGTAAATAATTTAGAGCAGAATGATCATCGCTGAGCAGAGTATTAGCATAACTTTCTATGATCTAATCCACTACAGAATTGGTTAACTATTCAGATATACTCAACTAATTTTGATCAAATAAAATGTATATGCTGGGTAGTATTTACAAATTGCTACAACTACACATACACAGACTCATGTATACAAAGGCATCGACCTCTATGCATAGCTGACAAAACAACGATAAAATGTGTCTTATAAACCATTTATTGTCAGCAAAACAATTCGATTTCTCTAAAGTAGATATAAATATATCTCCTGCAAAATAATACAAAAACCATAATAAGTATCAGTCAAAATATTTTGACAAACAGAATAAATTAAGTTAAATAAATATTGGCAATCAATCCTTAAACCAATAATAATAACAATAATAATGATTAGTTTGTGGATACACAAATGTTACTTCCGACACATTATACCATTCAAATAAGTTGATTATCAATAAATAAGTAGGTAGGAAAACGTATTGTTTATTTACATTTTGAGAAAGTAACAAAAGAAGCTTGATCTGTATATTGAACATTGGACATTGAGTAATAATAATAACCGCTTCATTTCAAACAATTTTTGGAACAACTTGCAATTTACAGTCTGATATATTGCAACAATATATATACATTGTTACTTAAGTTATTGTTGTGAGATTTTTTAACTGTAACAAAGTAGATATGTGAGTTACAATCGAACACTTTTTTTCCTCACATAATATGTGTGCTAGGTAAGGTACAGTCAAGTTCTTGTAATTAGCTGTACAACTGTGTAGAGTCTGATGTAATTTCTTCTCCTCCTCCTTGAGGAAAGAGAAAAAGCTGTGAATGAAGTAGATACTCAGTGTCAGTTAAAATTACTGTAACAACTAGTCGCTTGTAGAATTTAAATGTCTATCAACTACAGTGTTAATCTGTTGAGCCAGAGACACAACACTCACCCTACACTACATAACATAAACCACTTTTGTTTAGTAGATTAGGAAAGATCAACAGAGAACAAGGGGTAAGATGCAAGAATTAATAAATTTCTAAAGTACAGACACTGAGTTATACCAGACAGTCTAGGTTTCATTAAACAAAAGGTTTTCTCACAAGTTAACAAACAAAAATCAGAAGTAAAACTCAACCCAAGATAATTAACACTCGATTTAATTACCACAGAAATACCATCAATGCAGCCAGCAAGCGTCAAGAGACTTAAGCAGCTCATACATGTCCGTCTTGTTTACACCTCATGCTAAAAAATTAACAGTCTGACATTTTCAAGGGTTTAAACTTGACACCATTGGTCAATCACAGACAAGAATCCATTTAATTCGGAGCAATCTAAGTGACAGTTGACTGGAATAGAAATCGTCACATCATCAGCATAATTAATAAAATTAGTTTCAACAGAATAAGGTAAATCATGTAACAGGAATGAGAACAGAAACGGAGAAAGTACTACACCCTAAGGCATACCACCTTCAGTAACCAGTGAAGTGGAGCGCATCTCTTTATAGACAGTATACTGTTTACTTTTAGAAAAATAAGAATACAGCCACTTTGTAACCCATGGCTAAGTATGACCTATGGCAATCTTACTTAACAAGAGTGGTTTAGGAACACAGCCAAAGACTGATGTGAGTAATACAAGAAGGCACAATGACTACAGTTAATATCGTGAAGCAAGATAGTGACAGCATGTAAATTACTTCTCCTGTGTCTGTAAGTAAATTGTTTTGGATCTCTAAAAGCCTTCAATAAAGGTTCAAGCACAAGGAGAATTAATTTCTTGTCTTCAAAAAAGAGGAAGTTATGACGATGGGTCGAAAGGTAAGATCTGATCGAGAAGAAGACTTAGACACAGGTACAACTTTGATCTCCTTCCAAGCAGCGGGTATTGTGTTTTTAGAAAATGAATTATTGAAGATATTTTTAAGAGGATGACACAAAATATTTCCATATTTTCTAATTATAATAATACTCAAAACACTATCAAAACCCAGGTTTGGGGATGAATTCAAGGATTTGAAACATTGAAATACGTTCTGTACATGAAAACCAGGAAAGCAACTATCCAATTGACTTTGGACACTAGAGAGGATGAAATCAGCTTGCTGACGTATAAATGACTTGTTTAACGCTCAGACATCCGAACAAGCTTCTTCTGTCATCTGTTTTCTACCAGTAAGCTCTTTAAATAATTCCCATATATTGGAAGGGTTCTTAAACGATAGAAACTTCTGAATGTAAACAGTATTTAGACGTTGTATTTCAAACATAATAAGGCGGTTGAATCTTTTAACCCCAAGGTGATCTCTCGTCCTATACAACCTTTCCTCTTCTCTTCAGAGCCTCTTGAGATGAAGAGAGGAAAGTCTGGTTGGCTGGCTGGCAACGAACCAACTAACAACCTATTGCCCAACAAATATGCAGAAGAAAGTGGAGATGGATTGGACTGGACATACACTGAGAAGACTGTTCAGGGACATCACAGACCAGGTTAAGTCCCTCGAGTGGAACTCAAATGAGAAACGACGAGTTGGGCGTCCGACGATGACATGCAGATTGCATGAGGAAGAAATGAAAGTTTATGGGCAGTGGTGGTGGAGCGAGGTTAAGAAGACTGCAGAGAACAGAGTGAAATGGAGAAGTGATACTGAAGCGTTATGTTCGTTCCACTACGAACCTAAGTGACAAATAATTAAAAGAAACTCATATGAGAATTTACGATGTACAAATGCATAGCGTTGCCTTAACATCCAATAGATATTAACCAAACAGTTTGCCTTTCAAGGAAATTCTAAAGAAACTATAAATATTCTAGATTCTTTGATATGGTAGTTGAGCTAAAATACGTATGTAGGCAGAGAAGCAAAAATCATATACAATTAATACATATACTACCTTGACAAGATAGAATGGAGACGTAAACAATTTAATGAGGATACCTCTATATATATTGCATGCATACTACAACTGATTATTGATGAAGACAAGTAAATTCTTTTTTCTATGATATATATATATATATATATATATATATATATATATTTCTATTTTTACACAAAACCTATAAGTACGTATTTGTTCCAGAAAAAGTCAAACTTTCATTTAGCCAGAATAAAAATGAATTAAGAGAAACCAGGAAATCACAGTTGTTTGCATTCTTTTCATGTTAGAAATTCTTAAAATCCAATTTGTAGGTTTGTGAGGATTTATTGATTTCAAGTTGGTATTTATATCATGGACTGATTTATATGTTGGAGGAACATTGGAAGCACTGGACAGCTGTTTCGTCCTGGAATGAAACTCTCTAGCAGTGCATACTCCTTGATTCTGTCAGGGGGTTATTCCTGAAGTTTCAATGAGAAGTCATGACCGATCGCGAAAACCGAGTCGGAACGAGGACAAATTCTCAATGATGATATTTGATGATGTCGTGAATTGACAGAAGTTGGGAATATGGACCATTGGATTCCGACCCAGTGGCTGGATAAAAACGTGTTTGCCACGGGACACAACGGTCCTGGGTTCGATTCCTGACGGGGCACAGTCATGGGTGCACACTGCTGAGAAGTCCTATATTAGGACGGAATAGCTGCCTAGAACTACCAGGCTTCCAATGCTCCCCAAAATGATGTCAGTCCATGATGAATACCAAACTGAAATATTTAGAATATTCTACAGGTGAATAGAATCGAAAATCCAAATGCATTCAGCAGTGCACTTATGTGTAGTAGGCAATGAGCCACACCTATTCTATGTAACAGCTAATTATACTACCTGACTGTCAAAATCTCGGTAGGTGGAGCGGTTTCCGAACCTATAACCCATTGGGTAGAAGTTAACTGTCTAAGCCAATGAAACACAGCCCCACTAAAAACGAGAAATGTTACATTTTAGATGCTACAGATTTTGGCACTGTATGCTTGACACCATTTTCTAGTTAAATTATTTATAAGAAAGATGCATTTACTGTCTATTGGTCAACTCACTCTAGGATGAGTCAATTGGCGAATAATGAAGATAGGGGTATTTATGAAAGCATAAGACAAATAAGCACAATAAGATTTTATGAGCAAACAACAATAAGCATCTTTGAAGCTAAAAATAATTATAGTCCGAAAGTCAAAGAGAAGAAGATATCATGAGAACTCGATCTGAAAATCGACAGTCAAATCATATTGGATATACACTTACGGTGATTTCTTTCAATTCATGGTTTTGTACACTGTGCAGTGGATCTAAAAAGTTTTCTTTCACATGTTCCTCCATAGTGTATTTAATATCCGCTAGGCACTTAAATGATTCACCAGCTTGTACAAGACACTGACCTAATAAAATGAACGGTAAGTAAAATAGAATCGTACACTTCAAATGATCCTCTGGCAATGGATTGCCAGTTTAATTTCTAAACAAGTTTAATCAGCTAGAGAATATCACAATCCTTGGCACATTCAAGAAAAAAAAAGACGTGCACTCAACAACCACGTATATGTTTGTGCAGCAAACCAAATGAGCCACAATACCTATGTGACGGTTAGTGGTTCCACGTAGCTCTTAAGTACTCCGTAGGTGGGGCATGGTTCGAACCCGTGATCCATCTATTTATCATCATTATCATCAAGATCAACATACGACCAAGTATTACTAAGTAACGGTTCACGTTCCCACATTTCATATCAGCACATCAAGTAACAAGGCAATAAAATTGAAATGAAGAAGGGAAGATAAATCAGTCAATGAACTAGAAAGTGGTAAGAGTGAGGAAGGAGAAGTGAGAAAATAGTGAGATTGGGTATAGAGGGTAAGGTGAGGATAATGTGTATGTATACACCTGCCCAACTGACATAAGTTCTCAGCCACATCACCTAGGGTTCCTAACCACTGGTTTCTCTCGACCAGTAAATACCAACCAGCTAGTTTGCAACAGCCTGCACGACTTGGACCATAAGGTCAAGGACTTCATGCACTGATGACATGTTCCAGTCAAGCCACCTCCAGCATTTTTCCAGCCTTAACCTACTCCGGCCAACATTATGCAATGTGGCAGACAGTGGTTAGGTATACCTAACACGTGTCCTAGATACCTCAGACGATGAAGGTTTACAACCCCATCAACTGTCTTACCATTCCTCCCTGAAACTCTACACTTGACATCCTCTTCACTCACACGAAGACACCAAGAAACACAACACCTCCGGCAAACACAACGGTGCTCAAACACCTGAAGCCTTCTTATGTCATCTACCACTAATAGCCATGTTTCTAACAATACAACAGAACAGAACTCTATCAGCACTCAAATTCCCTCAGAGTACTATCCACTCTCTCATCCTTACCTTCGAATCTTCCTTTATGTCTCTCAGTTAACAATCCCAGCTCTGCAGCTATTGGAAACTATTTGATTTCACAGAACAGCATCCTTGACCTCCTAAAACCGTGCCCGGAATTATAAATTTCAATATCTGTGCTCTCCAATACATCCGTCAACAAGCTTCGCTAGCGAAAACTCTAGCATCTCGGGTCATGCAAGAGTGATATGTTTGTGAGACACAGATACAGGACCTAAGTATGGTTATTTGCCCGACCAACATGCTGAATCCATAAAATTTACCCTTTGAGTTTCTGGAGATTCGACAGCTAGTTCTCGAGGTTTTGGGGGTGTAGGAATACGACTCAGCAGTAGGGCAGAAAGCTCACTACTGAACTGGATCCCAGTTGGTAGTCATCTATGCGCTCCTCGACTGAACGGAACAATAAGGGCAAAAGGAATAGTGAAACTCGCCGTCGTCTCCTAATAATCTCTCTCTCTCCCTCCCTCTGTGTGTGTGTGTTTATGCAGAAACCGACTGAAGTTCGGATGAAGTGAAAGATGAGGTCTACCGAAAACTGTCTAACCATATGTTCAGACGTGGTTATTGTGGCAGGTGATTTCAATGCATATGTGGATAGGCTGAGTCAGGCATAAAGGCCTTTTGGTGGTACTTTCGGAATCCCGATTGAACGAGCAGAACACAGTGATTGCCTACTACAACCGTTCTCGGACAACCGTTTATTTCTAGCTAGCACAAACTTCAGACATAAAGAAAGACATATCTCGATGTAAAGGTGGAGTTCGACTCCGTTTATCGAGAAGTGTTGTGGTGATATCTCTCACTCAGTTGTACCGAGTAAGCACATCACTATATTGAAGGCACATTACTCGAACACCTGTGGGCGTGTTGAAGCCTATGGCGAGATGTCGAACGATTGGTGTTCTTCAAGGTTGTCCACTCTCTTCATTCTTATTCAATTTTATCATAGACATTCTTATGGAGGTTTCCTTCTCGTCATCTGACTACTCAGAGATTGACCTAATCACAGGATTTTTGTAAACGTAGAATATGCAGATGGCATAGTCCAATTAAGTGCAGAGCATGACAAGATGCAGAGTCTTCTGATCACCTTGAGTGACAATTTGAGAATGTTTGGGAAGCGTTTCTCGCTACTCAAATGCGAATCTGTACTCCTGGAATGGTCTTCAGAGGTGCCCGGGTTAACAACAGAGAGTGATGTGGTTGAATGTGTTGGTTACTTTCCTTACGTGGGAAATCGGATAGCTCAGTGGTTGATGAAATCTCTGCACGGACACAAAAATTGTTGATTAACTTTTGCCAATTTACGCCATCTACGGCGCCACCGTGATATCCAATTGTCTATTAAGGGTCGAGGGTACTGTGCCGCAGCCCAGTCTGTTCTGCTGTATTGTTAGAAACATGGCTTTAGTGGTAGACGACATAAAAAGGCTTCAGGTATTTGACCAGCGTTGTTTTCATAGGATATGCTGCGTCGTGGTGTCACCACATCAGTTATTTACAATTCAGGTGTAGTATTAGGGAGGAATGGAGGGTTAGTTGATGAGGTATTAAATCTTCATCGGCTTACATGGCTAGAATATATATTAGGTATGTCTCGTCACCGTCTGCTTCGTTGCATAGTGTTAGCTGAAGTAGGTTCATGTTGTAAAAGGCTTAAAGTGGCCAGACTAATGTATGGCATCAGTCCATGAAGCCTGGCTCTTGATATGAGCCGTGCAGTGAAACGTATACCCCGATTGGGGTCCGTGTGACAGGAGAAACCAGTAGCTGATTACTGTAAGAGGTATGATTCAAAATCGATCTCAGTGACGTAGATATATCTACATATTATCTTTGTTTTAACCGTCAAAGTGAATTCAGTATTTTCTCATTCCTCCTTGTAATCATATCACGACTGTCTACCACTTTTGAATGCTTTCATCTGTTTCTTTACCTTTCATCGTAACGCTTTCTCGTTTGATGTGCCAGTATGAGGTGGAAACTTGGGCAGTTACGCAATAATGTTTGGTCCTGTGTTGATGTTAATGAGAGTGAATAACTTGTGTCATATTACAGACACGGTTACTCAACAGGCCACGCTATTTCGAGATGATAAGGAATATTAGTAGCTCAGGAAGGTAATTTTGATGGTGCAGTTCACTGAGCTGGATTTTTTATTGGTGGAGCTTTCGTTGTCATTCTAGACAACTTCTTTCTGAAATTTGTGCTGATGATAATGTCTTGAATGACAACAAAAGCTCCACGACTAAACAATCCAGCTCAGAGAACACAACACCACCAAGATTGCGCTTTGTATATCATCTTAGTACCTATGAAACCGAGCATTATTCGCTGACACTTGGGTTCATGTGTACAAATGAGAAATGGTTATCTATCACATCGTACAACAGGAAAAATTAGTAAGCATAAAGAGATCTTCGATTACAGGTAATTCAAAATCCGCGGAGGGTTTCTAACACTAAACAGAACGTACCATAACAAGAATCAGGACCCAAATCACGACCATATTTTATCATACATTCACCCAATTGGTTTTCAGGTTGAGGATATGATGCATTCTTTGATTTTCCTTGTAATTTGTTCAGTGTATTCATTGTCATTAATTTAGCTCGATAGGCTGGATTAGGTTGAAGAAACTCATGTGTTTGTGTCATAAGATCTTCGAATAGCTTGGAGATTGTATCCACTTTCTGAATAGTAGTTTAGAATAGAGAATTAAATAAGTCTTACCCTTTCTATTTCAACGTATTCATCGTCCAGTTTTGTACCTTCCGCACCACCAATTTTCTCACTCACAAACTAAAAAGAGAAGTGAACAAAATAAGTAGAACTAATACATTTCTCCGGAATATAGAATTTCATGTACAGTACTTACCCGCTCGAGAACTAAAAATACAAATAATGAGATTGATAAAAATTAATCTCGTTACTTAAGAAGAAGTGACTGGCCAACAGTGAGAACAAATTTTGTATGCAAAAAGGACAAATAAAACCCTAGTCATTTCATTTACAAGTAATTAGATAGTAAAATTGGTTTTTCGATACTCACAACAGAAGTACTGTACGCATTCTTGATCATATCATGCATTCTGATGAGAATTAACAACCTCGCATCGTTAACTAGTTCACTAGTTACTAGCCGGTCCTAAGCCCGGGTAAAGAGTGAAGGCTGGGCATAGGGCTAGCAACCCTTCCCCGTAAAACAAATCTAACAGCTAAACAAACTTCAAAGCACAAACAAAATATAAAAAATAATAACAAAATTATTCCTCACTGGAATCGGAGAGGCGAAATGACACCGGTTGGTGAAAGCCTGCAGGAAGCCAATTCGCCAATGTGTCTCCTCTTCTCTCGACGAAAGCAAAAGTAAACATGGGGACATGGAATGTCCGCACCATGTTTGAACCTAGCAAGGCTGCCCAGATTGCAAACAAGATGAAGAGGTATCAAATTGAAGTGTTAGGAATTTGCGAAAGAAGATGGAATGGGAGTGAACTCTCCAAACTGTCAACTGGAGAATCAATAATCTACTCCGATATTGTCACCTAGACGACAACCACGAGCACACTCAGTTATCGAGTGGCTATCATAACGTCCCCTTGAAGAGCATCGAAGGCTCTCTCTCTCTCTCATACAGTGGGAACCAATCTCCTCCTACAGGATCATAACAGCAAGTTCCAACTCAAAAGGAAGGTAGGTCACAATCATACAATACTATGCACCTACAAATAATGCAGAGCAAGAGAAGAAGGAGGAATTCTACAGACAGCTTCAATCAACACTGGACAAGACACCACCTCAGTTAACTACATCAAATTCTAATGGGCGACATGAATGCCAAACTGGGAGGGGACAGCACAGAAAGAGAACTAACCATAGGTAGAGAAGCGCTCGGTGAGGTGATCAACGCGAATGGAGAATTGTTTGCAGAATTCTGTGCATTCAACAACTCGATGATTGCAGTGAGGTAGCGTGTTCAAGCACAAGGATATCCATAAAGCGAGCAACATGGATTTCACCAGACACCAAGACACACTAAAGATCAAATCGACTTTATCTCAATCTCAAGAAAATAGAGACGCAGTCTACTTGACACAACGTCAAGAAGAGGAGCAGACGTAGGTTCACACCGCTCACTATCTAGTACAAGGAACCTACCTTCAAAATCAAGTTGAAAGCCTTCAAGGAAGCTGGTGATAGACCACAGTTCAAGTACAACACTCGGAAACTGAAGGATGAAACTACAAAGGAAATCTTCACGACAGCCAGCCATCAAGACAAAATGGGAGACGGCGTTGAGCAACATCCCTGAAGAAACCTGTATGGAAGGACACTGGAAGTCTTTGAAAGAGATGTGGAAAGAAACCTGCATAACCTTATTAGGAAGGGAGAAGAAAGAAGTTAAGGAATAGATATCGGCGGATACACGGAAGCTGATAGAGCAGGGAGAGGAGGATGGTGAAGCACAAGATAAACCAGTGCAAGGATGCACAAAGAAAAGACGAACTGAGTACAAGGTATAAAACACTGAACAAAGAAGTGGAGAAGACTGCACACAAAAACAAAAGATACTTCCACAACACACTGGCAAGTTAAGCAGAACAGGCTGCAGGTAGGAGAGACCTGACAACGTGGTATCAAATAACCAGGTTACTATCTGGTAGAGGAGAGATCAACATGGATGAACCCAATGAAAGATATTGGAGGAGTTCCAGTTACCAAAGAAGAGAAACGAAGGAAACGATGGGCTGACCACTTCAAAAGGCTCTTGAATCGACCACCACCTGCAATTCGTCCAGAAATACCACCTGCATCCCAGCCACAGAACTACAAGTGAACATAAATCCTCCAACAAAAATGGAAGTCCTGAGTGCCATAAAGCCCCTGAAATGCGGGAAAGCAGCAGGACCAGATGGAATCCAACCAGAAGCACTCAGAACAGACGCAGAGACAACAGCGGACATGTTCACACCACACCACTATTGCAGAAGGTGTGGAAGGAAGAGAAGGTACCTGGCCATTGATTGGAAGAAGGGTTACCTTGTCAAACTGCCGAAGAAGGGAGACCGAAGTCTTTGCAAGAACTGGCGAGGAATCACGCTTCTGTCCACCCAATGCAAGCAAAATACTAAGCCGCATCATCTTGGAGAGACTAAAGGATGCGCTGGATTCAAAACTACGACAGGAACAGGCAGGCTTCAGGAAGTACGAATCATGTGCCGACCAAATTACAACGCCACTCTACGCATCATCATAGAACAGAGCATAGAATAGCAGTCAGTCCTCTACCTCAACTTCATCCACTTTAAAATGGCCTTTGACAGTGTCGACCGAGAGGTAATTTGGCAGTTGCTTCAATACTACGGAATATCACAAACCTTTATCAATCTCATTCAACAACTATATGAAAACGCCACATGCCAGCCAAGTAATTCACAATGGGAAGCTCAGCTCAGTGATGCTTTTGAAGTGAAGATAGGAGTGAAACAAGGTTGCCTACTATCACCCATGATATTCCTGATTGTGGTCGACTGGATCATGCAGCAAACAGTGGGGAGTGAGAAGAGGGGGATACGCTGACTGGACTGTGGAAAAGAACTTAGAAGATCTGGATTTCGCCAGTGATGACTTGTGCCTGATGTCACACAAACTTGAAGATCCACAGGCGAAAACTAACAAGTTGGCAGAAGAGGCAGGGAAGCGAAGACGGGACTTCAGGTGAATATAGAGAAGACAGAAGTGATGAAGATACCGCACCAACAACTCCAACAAACTCCAATCACCAGCTGGATTCACAAACATTGATAAGCGCAGATGGCAGACAACCATCATCATCCATTGCGAAACATATCACTGATAAAAGTCACAGAATTGATATCAAGACAGCCTTTACAATTTTGTACAGAAACTGTCAGGGGCGTATACTTAAGTTGGTTCAGGCACTAGCCATAAATAAATTTAACCCCCCATTGTGTGCAAAAACAGTTTATCCTTACATTAAGCCTACCTCGGTAATGCTTATTTTATCGTATTACCAAGATTGTCTTCAAGTCTTATCTTTTATTCCTCTCATTATCTTTCTTATTATTGAATTCCTTTATGTCATATGTGTCCTTCCCCCACTTCCAGTTTTCATATATAATGCCTTAACAAGTAAATGTGTGATCAGATTGTTCGAAATGTATAGCGCTAATACATCACATTTTTCAGATAATCTACGTCTTCCAATTACATTATCCAAATTCATAAAAGGGCTGTTTCGAAAACCTTAATGAAGTGCACAATAATCAAATGTTCGGATTTTTGAAAAAAATGGATGAATTAGACTACCAGAAAGACAGTTCTTGGACTATATAATCTGAATTATATAAATCTTGGTTCCACTCATTTTGAAGACTAAATGTTCATAGATTTCTCATTAGGTAGCTAAAATCGTGTACTTTATTGTCCAATTGAAGTTGTATGGTCTTTATCTGAGACGGCAACCAAATGGAACCACATGCCCAAGAAGCTATATTAGTTGGGTTAATTCAGTTTTGAACGACAAATTTCATTTGAGTTAACTATTTACAGTAGCCATACCCCCATTTAAGATGCCTCATAACGACCTATCATATAGTAGGGTAACAACTGTGAAACAAGCAAGTTAGCAAATTTAAGCTAAAAAGCAATTGCTGAATTCATTAGCTGACATAACACGAGCCCTTTTGTGTGTAACACTAAAAATATAGTAATGGGTTTATAAATATTCACTTTTGTACTCAGAGAAGAAATCGAGTAGTTGATTTATCCCAAGTTCAGACAATAAAAACGACACACGAAGCAGATATCCGACAGGAATATGCGGTCTTCATTGCTTAAGACAATAATCAAGAGAAAATTCATTGACTCGATAAATGTATATGAGGCTGCGACTCGTACATGCCCAGACTAGTCATTCGTAGGACGACTTGAACCAGCAGCCAAGTGCTCAGTAATCTAACCCTGAACTTACCAAGTCGAAAAGAAGCATGATTCGACAGTGATACTGAGAAGCATACATTTTAATTCATTTCATGAAACACAACTATACTAGTTTTCGGGCAGATATTTTTAGTGGGAGCATAGGTGCAACTATCCCAGCAATGACAACTTGAAATCAGGCACTTTAACAGACCCAGGTGACAGCTAAATTATCGTACAGGCTGCATCGCGTAAATAACAGTAACAATAAATAAATGGTATTCATATCAACAGTTAGCGACCAAGTATTTAGTGCCAGAATTTTGACTCCTGCCGAAAAATTTGTTCCCCTAATCAACCTCGAAGACTTGCAAATCTGTGTTCGACTCCATATCTCTAAATCTTTATACGCTAAATCACTTGGAGCTCTAAAACTCAGAAATGTCTCTCCATTGATTGCTAAAAATATCAGGTAATTAACACTAGATGATTATCATTTGACTATCAGAGATAGCCGTGGTTTTGGCAGACGAGTATTTATACCGCGAACCAGCGACCCTTTCTACATGAACTGAAAGAGCAGCCAGCCCGCAATAACATATATGAAGTAAACGTGGTGAATTTGGTAAGTGCTAATTTCGTCAACATAAGCATGCTTCAGAACCTCAGAAAAATCACAAAACGATAAGCATGGATGGTCTAAGGAAGTTTTGTACTTTAAAACCTCGAATACTTTGCCAACATGTAGTGCAAGAAAGTGTTCCTATTACACCTAACGGGAACACCACTCCCAATCAATGGCTTGAATACTAGGGTATCATCCATAGGTAAGAGAAAATAGCTTTGCATACTTAAAACTTGTCTCAACTTTAATCCTCCTACTAAAATTATCTATCTCGGTGATAGATACGTAGAAGGCGTTCTGGTTCGGTATCAACGTTAAGACTATGAAATTACATCAAGTACGTATAATACACCCCAACCTGTTTCGGAACGTCATTAACCAAAGATAAATAATACACTAAAAAGATGAACTCAAACCCTAAGATGCGACAAACTCCATCTGACAGTAAATAGCTGCTGACACTCGAAAAGATTCTGTCTGAGCACCCACCCACTGAGTTAATTCTGGGAGGATAATTATGTGTGGCATTAGGTCAAAAAGTAAGAGGAATGCCATTTATGGCCTACTGATATTTATGAAAGTCTTAAACCTCCATTAATTCGGAATTTCAATACTGCTTATGGCGCTGAGTAAAATGTTTTACAATTTCAACACATCACAACTTCCTACATTGTGCCGAAATAAAAATCCACTCAGCAACCTTCTGCACATTCGTGTTATAGGCAATGAGACACACATTAATGTGAGGGCTTATAACGCTACCCGACAGCTCAAACCTTGGCAGGTGGAGCGGTGCTCGAAACCGTGACCCCCTTAATCAATGAACCACAACCCTACTCCTGCACTTTATGCATTCTTAGCAACTTCATGAGTCAGTGTAAACGAGATACCCAGATCAAGACATGGCACTAGTTTATGAAGTCCCTATCTGTTGGTCTGAGCTGTGTTCTGAGATGTAAACTACCTGGTTGGAGTCCCCGAGAAGACAGGAACCAGTAGTTTAGGACTTTTGGTGACGGTTGCAAAACGGTTTTGGCGGCACAAATGCATCCACTCTTTCATGTCTTCTAAGGCTTGAATATTCCCGTTAACCATCATCTTTAAATTGCTCATTCTTTCACACAACTACTTTGATATCACTCCTATGCTATCCACCTGTCTTTGTATACAACTGTGGAGTGGTAACTTGAACTAATGCTATTGTGTGGGCGGTTCTGCTTTGATTCCCTACCTTTCATATCTACACAACTATAACAAGTGACTACGTCTTTGACCTAAACTTCTTCGGGAGAACAGGATGGTTTATTATTCGCACTGAGTGAAAAAGGTAGAAGTGATCTGGAGGTGGTTGGTTTCTTCAGTTGACTAATAGTATTTCTGTCCACTGCACGAAAAAGAAGTGGTGGATACAGAGATTCATAAACGGTTTCTAATTGGATTTTCCAAGCTTAGGAAAATGTGAGTGCTAGTAAACATTAATGAATGTGATATGCAAAGATTCAATTGAAGCAGTAGATAGAAACAGAATAGTTTGCTCCTCAATTCTATCAAAACTTGAGGTTGCGTACGGAGCAGGCATGCACAGACAGAAGAGACAGTTACACAGTAATTGAGAACTCATATATTAAAAAACCCAAACATCAAGATACATAAAACAAACGCAGAAACCAGTGGAGGTACATTTTCATGTCTGAGCTGTAATGAAACTAAATCTGTACATTCATTTTCCACACAATGTTAGTTCTTACTAGCCCTTCATACGTCAGACAACTGAACCATAAAACAGTTAAGATGCAAATGTAAAATCAATATTGGGATAGATTATAGGGGAATGCCTGTGATCCCCAACCATCATCAAATAAAAAGAGATAAGAAAATGATGGTCCCTTCCCAGTATGGTTGATTGGTAAATACCAAAGATATCACCTTAATGAGCCGCAATCCATTACCGAAGTGCTAATACAACCATGATGCACTTGCTTAAACACCTTGGTCCAAAAGGTAGGTAGCGTGTCTGCTAGTAACCAGCCACACACTCAGTACGAAGCCAACACTCTTCTAAAAATTTCTGTTCACCTTCGACTTTTTTCCCAAAGGTAGTGCGTGCATGCATCAAGACCAGGTGTAACAAAATGACTTCATGAAATTGGGACAATATTAAACGAGTTTTCGACGAAGCACGATAGAAAAAACGGTGGAATAAATCCGGACATTGTAAGGGGAACAACTCACCTGATTAGCTTTGTTGAACTGCTTTCTGAGGCCAGCTAGTGACATATTTGCGGAGAACCTATGTGAACTACAACTTCCAAAATCCCATTCAAATTAACCGCCTCTGTAAGCAACAATGCAAAGTGGAGTGAACGAAGTGCTAATTTGAATTCCAATGTTACTTTGACTCAGGTGAAACAGGTAGTGAGCTGACTCTTTCCTGGACTGAAATAGACAAGAAATTCATCAAACTCCGCGATAATAAACTTGCAAGATAAAACCTACAAAGGTTGGTCATATTGCCAGCTGTATACTTCTAAATTAAAAGAACAATCTTAAGAATTTCCTTGGAACTTCTTGAGTGGATCGAAAAATGATGAACTCACCCTTTTCGCTGGCAAAGTTGAGCCAGTTCGATACGCTGACATAATGTTAAGCATGAAGCAAATCTTGAGCTTTTCACTATTTCAGATCTGTAGGCCTTTAAAACTCAAGTTCTTCAGGATATTGTTTAAAACACAAACAAGAACTCTTTTGACTTTTGTCTCGATGTATCCGCTTCGACGCGTATGGATGATCTGATGGATATAGTTAGAGGTAACGTAAGTCGGAAACCCGCCTACTCTAGATAGTCTGAACGAATCAACATATTCTAGTCATTTTATGAAAGTCCACTGCATACCATGTTTCTCTGATAGACGCTGTATCTACCTAAGTCGCAAAATAGCTAGTATATTCATGCCAGTTCACCCACTAGTGTTCTTCTTGTTTCACATGAGTATGTGATACGGAAGAACTGTATGACTTGGGTTGGTTGGTTTTTCTCAGGTCACTACTTATTTTACAGTGGCTGAAAGTAGGAAGATCTAGCTTATTGGCCCGTTGTTGCATAGTATTCTGCACAGTCCTGCAACGCCCTTTGTGGGCAGTCTCGAAATCTCCTTCAAGACGTACACATCGGTTGATGAACCTCTGGGTTGGGTATCTCACAAGTCTTGGAGAATCTGAGATAGAGCTTCGGGGTAAGATCACCTAGTTAACCACTGTAAATGATCGTACTGTTTGGGCCTTGAGGGTTTTCCCGAAGTGAGTTGAATTGGTGTCCGCCAGGATTTGGTCAGATATTTTTTGTGACTTTATGAAAGAGGTATGTAATCCAGGTAGGGGGGAGAGTTCCTGAAGAATCAGGAGTTCCAAGAAATTGTCACGAATTTACTCAGGTCCAACACCACTGAGGTAGTCTTGGACCACGCCCCAAGCTTTGTGAGATTTCGCACAGATGACGCAATAGCCGTGCGACACAACTGGGGAGCCAAATCTTATATGAGGGTCATTTAGAAATAGCGAGAGAAGTAACAGGCTTAGAATCGCTCCTTGTGACGCTCCAAACAGAGATGCTCTAAAAGTTGAGCATGCTCTGTTTCACTTTGGTACAGAATATCCCAAGGCTTAGGCGGTTCTCCGGTCTTGATGGCAGCTGGTGACCAATACTCAACCCCCCAATTTTCATCGGAAGAATGGAGTGCGGGACAGTGTCAGAAACTTTACTGGAATCCGAAAATATACAGATAGAGGTGTAGATGTTACAGCATGCCTTTCAGTTGTCTGCGGCCTCCAAAAGCTGGGAACGCCACCAACTAACTCAGCTGAAGCCGTATTGAACTTCATGGACTGGGCCCTTACATCCGAGAATTCCCTGATTTGGTCACCTGCCAGGCTTTTCACTACTTTTGGAAATAAGCGAAAACGCTACAGGTCAGTAGGATTTCATATTTTATCTTTTTTCTTCCTTGAAGATGATGGGGATAACAGTATGTTTATGACAGCTGGTGTTTACCTAAGGAGTCGGGAAATCAATCATATTTGGCTACATAGGAGGTTCGAATACTGTATCGAATGGTCCAAATAGTTGTTGACGGAATAGAAGATTTTGCTTGGCGGACTTCCGCGTCCAAAATCCGTGGATCACTACTTCTTGTGTTTGTTAACCAGTGCACGAGTGAAGAAAGGGGAAAAGGTGGTAGTTTAGAAGTAAAGATACACTTAGTTCTGAGCAGATCCCAGATGCATGTCACTTAAGTATCCAGTCCGCGTTTAAAGGGTTCAAACGAGATAGCCTGGGTCACATCTGCAGGAACAGCGTTCCAGGGTCCAACAACTCTTTGGGAATGGAAGCTGTCTGACACCTAGCCTGCTTCGTTCCAGGCTAAGTTTTCGTATGTGTCCTCCAAGATTAGTACTACAGTTAAGATTTGGTAGTTGACAGAGTGGGTATCTGGGCGCGCTCAGAAATTTGTGAGCCACTACCAAATTTGATCTCAGCCTTCTGCACTACGGAGGATACGGATCTAGCGCAACCTGTCGTTCCTCGCATGTTTTAGACCCGTGTCGTGGAACAGTCCCTGTCGAGCACCTCTGGGTGAGTTCTAAGCCTAGTTTGTGCCTCTGAAGAAAGGGTGGAAGATGATAGTCCCAAACTCCAGGTGAGGCAGTATGTAGCCGTCGAATATTTGGTGAAAACATCTACGACTGAACTGTTCGAAAATTCGTTCGAGAGTTACTAACGACAAGCTTCCACGAAATGCGTTTCTGTCTCAGTTTGGCATAGGATTTTAAGTCTTGACCAACTAAATAGCCCGTGGACGGGCGCAAATCATTGCATGCTACGGATTTTCTCACACAGGGCTTCAACATATTGAAAACTGAGCTTTAAGTGACCGGCGCCATACATATGTCCTCTGTACTAGGTAACTTAGGAAGCTGTTCAGGCTTTTGGTACGTGTGGCCTGCTGATAGACAACTGAATAAGTTGGGCCGAGGTGCTAAAAGTTTCAGTAGTTCCCAGTTCAGACAGTTTCCATTAATCTAAGTGTCTAGTAAAGCATGCTACTTGGCCAGAACCAGTATAGGTTTTGGGAGTTGGTCTGAAACTTGCGGGCAACATTCGTCCTGCCTCGAAACATGTTCGTTTAGAATCAGTTCCCTGGAACCTTGTATGTTTTATGATCTGTCTCCATTCTGGACAGCCTCCACCTGTACAGTGCTTTCCTCTTTGCTAACCGGAAGTACTGGTTGGTTCACTGGTATTTGTGGCACCAATAAGCTGCAACAAAGTGCATCGCAGCTAAGATCGTACAACACTGTCACTGTTAGTGTAGAGTCAAACATAAATTCACTGAAATTAATGAAAAATGCTACTGACCGGGTGATTAAATGCAATACTGAATTGTCCTCAAGAAGAAATGAAAAGCAGACAGTATTTTGGTACCTGATGAGTCATTTTAAGCACGATAATGATGAAAGCTGACGGTCAGACAAATCACCAGAGCCTTTTAATACAGACTTGAAGATGAGAGAAACAGAGCCTTGACAGCAGGGGTGATAGAGGTTCGAGAAACAGTCTCGCTAACACTAAGGAATTCTTTGTCTGTGTTTCGTTATTGCCAATGTAAATACTGTTTAATAAGTCGAGAGGAATTCGCCTGGACCAGTGATATAACTAAAATTTCAAGACCTTATATTAAACTCAAACTCCGGATGGAAATTTCTCTTTCCTGAGGTGTCAGAGGATTTACGTTAAAATGTCAGATCAATTTGAGATTTAAACAGTTACAGTCCACCGCGATTGATGAAGTAGTTTACTGTAATGCAGTCGAAAAGGCACGATATCATTTCATTGCTAAATGTAAAGAAGGGATGTTTTTACCGGTCGATCTTCATCCTTCGCCGTATCATTGAGGAATGACCTCAGTCGAACCTTTCCAGTCAGATGTTGTCGGCTGAAACTGCAGACGAAAGTCCAAAAATTGGTGTTGTATACCTAAGAGAGAAGTCTATAAGACGCATAAGTTCAGAGCATGACACTTGTTTGTCTTCAAGTACATCGCTACAAGCGATATGTCTGATCTGTGTCACTAATGTAACTGATTCCTCACGGCTATACCCCTCTTAGAGAAAATAATGAAAAAACCATTCTTTCAGGTTTCAATTTCCGCATTTTCTTTCCACCAACCGTGTCTCTAGAGTATAGGTGCAGACTAAAGTCTCGATTAGTAATTGTCTGTGGATTCTCCAAGCCCCATAGGATATATTACAAAGCACTGACGTGGTAGACCCACGGGATCTCGAGTTTCAGGCTGCTGTCGTGTCATGCCACTTTCTGCTCACTGGAAAAATCACATTTTTACGTTAATTCGGGAGATAACCCCATGTATGATATTCTGCGGCTGAACTAGTTTGTTTCGAACGACAATGTCACTTGTTAGCCAGCTTATCAAAACACGCGGTGGAAATTGTCCATTGGCGATATTTAACATCGTTAAGCATACAGGTACACGGGAAGGAATACGGTGCAAACTTTACTCGCTCTCCTCAAAAAAGAGGCGGCGAGAATGTAAGTAAAGCAGCGGGTCATTATGGTACGCAGACACGAATAAGCAATCCAACGGAATCGCAGGTACTGTCGTCCGCCTAATGCAAGATTCTAGAATGCCTCCGCAACATTAAGAAATTTAAGTATCCTGGGATTCTGCAGACGGTGACCTTTCCACCATGGGACTACACAGGATGCAGGTAAATAGTAAGAATGTGTGAACGAAATTCGGTTGGGCTTTCGGATATTTTTCCTTTTAATTTGTATACCTCTGTTGTCTGGTACATTTCGTCAGCACCAGGAGCCAGCGGACCATAAGTTCCTGTGTCTGGAGGCCAAGGTGTAAAGGGAGAGAACAAATAGAAAAGATAGCACTTTATTAGTGATATAGCCTGCAAACTCGATCTGTGGCTTTGGGTGGACATCGAAATTACTTTTAAAAGACCCCAACGATGAGGCTTCAACATCCATGATCAATCATGCGAGTAGAGGTAAGTTGTAGATTTTTGGCTGTCGCTTCTAGGTCTTGAGGCTCGGTTATTTTTGTAAGGTTGTGCTCCTACTGTGGTCGCAGAAGTCCTCATCAGAATTATGTACGAAAGTACGTAGAATTCGACCGACCTGATGGATCACGAAAAAATGAGTTTCTTGGGGAGCTATCCTCAAGCCACTCCTATTTCTATCGTTCGCCTAT